TGCCCCTCCGTGCCCGACATGTTTGTTCAGAAACCGGTTCGAGGGGGACTTCAAATTTTACGCGGAACTGGTTTACGTACCCGAATCGGCGTTTTTTTGTCATCGCCCCCGCGGTTTTTTAGAGGCTGGGTTTTAGCGGTTGAAGACCTTCGCTTGTAAACTCGCTATGATTACCAAGTATGAGGATCGAAGGATCGAGTTCAGTAATTGAATAATAATCATAAGTACAACCTAGTGACACAGAGGTTACTAGAAGGTACTGTGCCTTCAGAACCGTCGGGAACAAGACCTTCCCGAATTTGGTAGAAGATACTCGGCGATAACCGAAATGCCACAGGATTCGGTGCACGCAACCTAAATCGGTGCTACGAGAAAAAGTAAGCATAAGAAAATATAGATAAGCAAGATAATGCAAAGTAAAGTAAATATGGGTGAGCGTAGCCGGTGTACTCTCACTAGGAAGCGTGCAGGGCAGAAAGTTCATGTGCGTGGCGTTGACAATGAAGGGAGGCCGGTCATGCACACATACACAATGCACGAGCGGCCAATCAAGGGGCACATCTACCGCAGCGACTACAACGACAGTGTGAAGCTGGGTCGCAAGTTCGCGAATGATTGCGTCGACAGGCTCCTCTTTCGCCATGACGATCTGCGGGGGATGGGGCCGACGAATCTGTTTCGTGCCTCCAAGTGGCCAAAGAGCAAGAACGCACGCGAACGCAAGTGCCTGGACTGGCTCACTGGCTGCAACGGGCTTTTCAAGAACAAGCTCCTGGGGTTTGATCTCAAAGCCTTGAGGGAGCTTGCTACCTGGTGCCCCATCATGGAGTCCCACCACGAGGAGGAGGGATTCGCGCAAGGCTTGGCAAACTTCATGGCAAGCGGCGAAGCACTCCGGTAAGTAACAATTGAGAAGCATGTGTGACTTGTGCTCTGTAGGTGTGACCCATATGAACACAGTGTTCATAATCCCTCTTTCCTCCATCGTATTTGGCAGGCGATGGCCCAACTTATTGCTGCTAAGGCAGGCGCTGGAAGTTTCGCCACTGTCAAAAGTCGAGTGCGAAATAAAGTTCTAGCGGCAGAAACTCATCAAATCTTGGGTTTGGGGGTCGCTGTGCAATGCTCGGCTGGCGGAACTGATGCATATTTCTCTGCTGGAGTGCGATGTCGACTGGGATGCGGTGCTGGACACCTGTGATAGCCTCAAGAAGAGGCGCCCAGCACAGAGCGTGATTTTCCCCTATGATGATCGCAAGCGCAACGGGAAAGAAGTGGAGGAAGACGAGGGATCGAGCCAGCAGCGGCGCGAGGGAGAGGGTAGACCCCCTCCCCCCACATGGTCCTGCTCCCTCAGGTGTGTCTCACGTCGACCCACCCCCCTTGGTTGAGCCTTTAGAGGTCTCATCTGACACCTCTGGCCCAACTGAGGGGGGTGACCCCGCTGCTAACGACACGTCGGCCACTCGCTGCTCCCCGCGCTTGGAGACCCCTCCTGGATTTCCGCCTTGGTCGTCTTCGCCGCCTCCGCAGCCTGTCGCTATGGACTCTGGTGCTGCCGGGGGTGGTGACACTGGGGGTGCGGACTCTGAAGGTGCTGGTCCTGAGGTTGCTGAGTCCGAGGGTGCCGGTTCTCGGGGTGCTGACACTGGGGGTGCTGCGAGTCCTACTGGTGGTCAAGTCGTGGGTGCTCCTGCTGGTGCTGGAGGTGCTCGAGCAAGAGGTGCTGGAGGTACTGGAGCTGCTGGTGCTGGAGGTGCTGGAGTTGCTGGTGCTGGAGGTGCTAGAGCTGGAGGTGCTAGAGGTACCGGAGCTGCTGGTGCTGGAGGTGCTAGAGCTGGAGGTGCTGGAGGTGCTAGAGCTGCTGGTGCTGGAGCTGCTGGAGCTGCTGGTGCTGGAGGTGCTAGAGCTGGAGGTGCTGGAGGTGCTGGAGCTGCTGGTGCTGGAGGTGCTAGAGCAGGAGGTGCTATAGTAACTGGAGCTGTTGGTGATGGATGTACTGGATCTGGAGGTGCTGGAAGTGCTGGAGCTGGAGGTACTGGAGGTGCTGGAGCTGGTGGTTCTGGAGGTGCTAGAGCTGCTGACGGTACGGGCACGGCGCCGCGTCGACTGTTTTTCTACCCGCAGCTGTAGTCGTCCCTACCACCACCTGACTCGACACTTCGTCAGGTTCTTAGTCTTCCGTCTTCCACTGGCCTTACTCCGCCTCTCCTGAGTCCTCCGCCTGACCAGTCACAGCCGCAGTTACTGCCTGGCTCTCCACTGCCTGCTCCTTCTCCCTACCCTGCACAGACAGGCTCCCAGGCTGAGCGTCGTGAGCATGAGTCTCATCCTGCCTCCCCTGTTCGCACTGTCAGTCGTGCTCGTCGTTCTCGTCCTCCATCTGTCCCCGGCACGCACGTTATGGCACTTCGTCCTTCCTCTGTTCCACAGCGTGTTGCTCTGCCATCTCCTCCGGCGTCCTCTCTTCCTGATGTTCCGGACCCTGAGTCCGACCTTGCTCGTGCTGCTAGTCCTACTGTCACTCGTCTTCTCGCCACTGTTGTCACTGACCCTTCCTTTGAGTCTACTGTTGCGTTTGCCCTAGTCACTGAGCTAGTTGACTTTGCTGCTACCCGTCGTCTCGACCACGTCGCGGGTCTTGTTACTGAGTCTCAATCTGTCTGTCCTCCGTCCGTAGGGGGTGAGCTTGCCCTTGGCTGTGACGTCCTTGAGGATAGGCAGTTTGAGCTTGAGTGTCTCGCGGCCGTTTTACCCCGTTTCGCGTCCATGCTGCTTTGCCCTGAGGGAGACCCGGATGCACTGGACATCCCCACCCTGCGCTCTTACGCAGAGGCGATCACGGGTGAGTACTCCACTCAGTGGCAGACAGCCATGGACGCAGAGATGGCTTTCTGGAAATCCACAGGCACCTACGTCGACGAGGTTCCCCCTCCCGGGGTGAACATAGTCGATGGCATGTGGATTTTCAGAGTGATGCGGCGCCAGGTTCTCCGCCTGCCTTCAAGGCGCGTTACGTTGCTCGAGGCTTCTGTCAACGACAGGGGGTCGACTTCTTCCATACCTTCTCCCCCACCCCGAAGATGACCACTCTTCGGTTGTTACTACACGTTGCAGTACAGCGTGACTACGAGCTGCACTCCCTCGACTTCTCCACAGCTTTCTTGCAGGGCAGCCTTCACGAGGAGATCTGGCTGCGCCGCCCACCTGGCTTCACTGGGTCGTTTCCTGAGGGTACCCAGTGGAGTATCCGGCGGCCAGTCTACGGTCTCCGCCAGGCGCCCCGCGAGTGGCACGACACACTGAGGAAGACACCTGCGGCTCTTGGGTTTGCTCCTTCGACTGCCGACCCGTCGCTGTTTCTGCGCACCGACCCTACTCTGCCGCCGTTCTACATCCTCGTGTACGTCGACGACTTGGTCTTTGCTACTGCCGACACTGAGGCGCTGACCCTTGTGAAGGTGGAGCTGCAGAAGAGACACACGTGCACTGTCCTAGGTGAGCTGCGTAGCTATCTTGGCTTGCAGATCACCCAGGACAGAGCACGGCGCACCATCACTTTGACTCAGTCACACATGGTGCACGAGGTCCTTCAGCGTTTCGGCTTTCCGTTCTCCTCGCCACGGCGCACTCCTCTGCCTACAGGCCACTCGCTCTCAGCTCCACCTTCGGACGAGTCCGTAGAGCCGAGTGGCCCGTATCTAGAGCTTGTGGGCTGCGTTATGTACCTGATAACGTGCACACGACCTGACCTCGCGTACCCTCTCAGTATCCTTGCTCGCATCGTCGTGCCCGGGCGACACGGGAAGGAGCACTGGACAGCTGTGCATAGAGTACTGCGTTACTTGTGCAGTACATCGGGCATGGGGCCCGTGCTTGGAGGACAGGGTTCAGTGGTACTCACAGTACACTCCGACGCTTCTTGGGCCGACGACCAGGCGACTTAGCGGTCGTCACAGGGTTACTCTGTCAGTCTCGGCTCTGGTTCTGTCTCGTGGAGGTCCACTCGTCGTCTTCTGTGCTTGGTTCCAGCTGTGAGGCCGAGATCTACGCTGGGGCCATGGCTGCACAGGAGTTACGCTGGCTGACCTACCTGCTGACCGACTTGGGTGAGCGGCCTCGTTCTCCTCCAGTTCTGTACGTCGACAACAAGGCCATGATTGCCTTGTGTCAGGAGCAGAGACTGGAGCACAGAACAAAGCACATCGCTCTTCGTTACTTTCTTGCTCGGGAGTTGCAGCAGCGTGGCCTCTCGGGCCAACACTGCTTATGTTTTCACCAAGGCTCTTGTCCCTGGTGATCATCAGCGTTTCTGCACTGTTTTAGGCCTTGTGCCTACTCTGCCTCACTTGCTGGTTGCTTGACTTGTCTTGTAATGTGATCTCTATATATATATATATATATGTACCTGCATGTTTGCTCTTGCTAGGTTGTGATCCCTGTACTGCTTGTGCTTTTATACCTCTGCGTGTGAACTGGCCTTGTGGCCGCTTGCTTGTGCTGAGAATGCGTGGTGATCTTGAGATCCACGCTGAGCTTTGCTTTGCTTAGTTCTCTTGCTTGACTAGTCTTGTGACCGTCCGTTGTGTTTGCTATCCCCCACTTTGCCTATGGGGGTGTGTCAAATTGCAGTTGTTATCTCTAGGCTGTAGTGGGGAATACCCTAAGGGGTACAACACTTTATGGTTAGGTAATACTTGTACTCATCCTTGCTACCTAGTCCATCATTCCTACGTTCTACTTCTGACGTTACTGTAACGAGTGCTTCGACTCTTCATTTTCGTGCTCGGTAGGGTGTCTTTGCAGTACTTAAGAAATGCACGGGGGCATTTTCCTTATAATAACAAGTACAGTTCGCATCAGAAACTTTATTAAAGTACGAGACTTTCCTCCCCTTTCTCACCCCTCGCTTCCGTGCAAATGTGCTGGCTCATGGGGACCTGTCACGCACTGCTTAACAGAAATTCGCCACGCCCCGCAATGAGTCAGAATTCAATCCATCACGCTACTGGCGGCCGTCTCAATTTCTCCAATCTCAAACTCCGGGTCCACGAAGCCGCCTCCTCCCACTCCGGAGGCACAACATAGCTCCCCTGCCCTCCCCGCATGTGCCCCATGCAGTTAAAATGCACAATGCGCCAGCAGCTCCCATTCGCCTCCCGTCCTCTCGAAGTTAACCCCAGGAAGGGCAGTGGCTTGGTGCAGCCAGAGACGTTCCAGAGGCGCGGCAGCACGCGGCAGCGCGTGGGCATCTGCTTGCACGTCCACATGAAGAGGAACTGGTCCCCGTCCTCCACGTAGTCCGCTAGCTCCTTGGGCTTGTGCGGGCCTAGTGTGTCCACGAATAGCTGTTGGTGTGGTGGTGAACATGCACAGGGAAAGAGGTGCCGTGGAAGTGCAAAAGAGAAACGCAGGTGTGTATGGATGGGGAGGGGAACCGGGGGAGAGAGGGAGGAGGGGGAGGGAAGGGTAGGGTATTGCAGGTGAGAGAGACGGGGGTGGGGAGACGGAGAGGTGAGTTGAGGATTAGGGAAGTGCTGTGGCTCAGTAATGTAAGGCCCCAGTCATGTATCGACCTCCTTCGCAAGCTGGAGAAGCATGAATACTTGCCTACAACTCACCACAAGTTGTGATATTCGAAACTGGAGCACCGTTTGCATCCTCCCTACACCCTCCATCGAACCCCCATCTTCGGGCACCCCCCCTTGCTCGTCCCGAACAGAGGCAGTTCAGGAAGAACCACCCACCCAGTCTTCCACCCCTCCCCTCCAGGATTCTCACCTGCGTGAGATTGGCCTCGCGCATGCGCTGCAGGTCCAGCACCATCTGGCAGGAGCAGTAGGGGCGCAGCAGGCGGCGTGCATTGGCGCCCTCGGGGTGGTTGTTGCTGATGAAGAAGAGCAGGTCGGGGTCGTGCGCCATGGACAGGAAGAAGTCCCACAGGTCCTGTATGTCCCCGCCCACTATCATGTCCACGTCCAGGTAGATGGCTCGCTGCACCTGGAAAGTGTAGGGGCGAGGGGGACGACGGTTTGGGCAGGGAGAGAGAGGGAGTTGCATGAGAAGGCTTAGTTGAAGCATGCACAGGTCCCACAGGTCACGAGGCACCCACAGGTCACGCATGCATGAGGGGATTGAGCGAGTCCTGGATGTCCTCGCCCACTATCATGTCCACGTCCAGGTAGATGGCTCGCTGCACCTGCAGGTGTGGAGAAAGTTAGCGGGTGAGAGGGGGACAGGGGAGAGAGGAAGGAGGGGAATCTGATCGGTGGTTGGAGGTTGGGGTTGTGGTTGCTGGTGCGGAAGAAGAGCCCACGTTGTCGATTTGGATTGAGGCACATGCCTTGGATGTCCCTCACTCACCCCTTGCCACTACACGTCCACGTGCAGGTAGGGAGAGAGGGTAAGGGGAGTTGGTGAGGAAGACGAGCAGACGGCTCAACCTGGATTGATTGAAGCACGCAACTATCCCGTCCACGCCCATGTAGATGGCGGGTTGTACGTGCAAGGGAGGGAGGAAGAGAGGGGTGGAGAGGAGGGGAATCTGGTTAACAGTTTGGGGGTGGGGTGCGGTGCGGTGGTGGTGAGGGAGAGGAGCAGGCAGGTGGCTGTAATGCTGATTTTCAGCCCCCGGGCAATCTCAGGCACTGGATGTCGCAAGTCTGGTGATATTATGTTCACGTGTGCAGTTACATTGCGTGCTGTACTGGAACACGGGGGTAGGTGAGAGGGGAAGGGCGGGTGTAGTGTAGAGGGAGCGACGGAGATTTGGCCACCTGACATTCACCTCGCCCTCCCTCCATCCATCCACGTGACTCTTCAGCCGCCTCAAAAGCGCACAAATCAATCACAGTCCCTACTGCTCACCACCACCCACCTACCACAACATTGCGCCTTGATAAAGGTACTCATTCCCCACACCCTCACGCACACTACTACTCCTCAGCACACCCGCCACACCTTACGCACCCTTAAACCCCAGCCACACCCAGCCACACCCAGCCGCACCCAGACGCACCCACCCACCTGCCAGAGGATCTCAGCCATGAAGAACTTGCTCATGCCGGGCACGCCTGCATGGTGGGCGAGCGGCCAGAGGTGCAGCGCCTTGGCGCGCTCCACCACATACTCCGTGGGCAGGTAGTGCATGCTGAACAGCACCGCCGCTCTCTGCCTGCTCGCCACCCCGTTGCTGTACCCTCGTGCTGCCAGGTCTTTGGCAGTGGGGTGGCCGATACGGGCGTTCTTGCGCGTGGGGTAGATGTAGGGCGAGGGGTTGGGGATGAGCTCGGTGGCGCGCAGCGTGACCATGAGGGAGCGCAGCGCGGAGTGCTCGGGCTCGCCCGCGATGATGAAGTGGATGTGCAGAGGACAGCGCGTGCCGTAGAGAAGGGACTTGAGCATCGTCTCTGTCTCGTCCTGGCGGGGAAAAAGGGGGGGGTGTGGGTGGGGAGGGGAGGGGAGGGGAGGGAAGGAAACGGAAGGAGATTGGAGAGGAGAGGAGGGGAGGGGAGGGGAGGGGAGGGGAGGGGAGGGGAGGGGAGGGGAGGGGATCAGAGGGGAGGGGAGGGGAGGGGATGGGAGGGGAGGGGAGGGGAGGGGATGGGAGGGGAGGGGAGGGGAGGGGAGGGGAGGGGAGGGGAGGGGAGGGGAGGGGAGGGAAGGGGAGGGAAGGAAGGAGAGGGGAGATGAGCGGAGTGGGGAGGAGGGGAGGGGAGGGGACGGGAGAAGGGGGGAGGGGAGGGGAGGGAGAGGGAGGGGAGGGGAGGGGAGGGGAGGTTAAGGAAGCCATGGTGGTGAAAGGAGGAGAGGTTGAAGGGGGAATGATGGGAAAGGGGACGATTTGTGAGGAGCATAAAGGCTTCCAACTTTAACCACCTGCCAATCAACTCCAGCCTCGGGCCCTCTCCATTCAAATCCCTCACCTCCCGCCTCCACCACTCTTAATCTACTACCCGCCCCTTCACTCCCTCCCTCTCCCCCCCTCACCTCCCTTTCCTTCTCAACCCCTCCCCTTTTCACCCCCCCTTCTTCTCACCCCCCTCGTCCTCGCATCCCGCGCTCACCTTCAACGTCTCCTCCCAACCCCTTTCACCACCCCTTCTCATCTCATATTCCTCCCCCTCGCACAGCTCTCCCCCTCTCAACCCCCTCTCCATATCACACTCCTCCCCCTCACCCTTTCCCTCCCATTTCCTCCCAACCCCTCTCCCTCACATGTTTTCCCAACCCCCTCCCTTGTAGCTCCTCCCAACCCCTCTCACACTCCCTTTCACTCTCACCGTTGTCCCCCTCTCACTCCCTTTCACTCTCACCGTACTCCCCCTCTCACTCCCCTCCCCCTATCACCCTCCCCTCCTAACACACACCCACTCTCTCACCCTCTTCCTCCTCTTACCCCTCTCCCCCTTTCACCCCCTTCCCCTTCTCACCCCTGTCTCCATCTCATCCCCGTTCCCTCCTCTCGCCCAACTAATCTCAACCCATTCCCTTTACAATCCCCGCCCACTTATCACCTCTCTTCCCATCTCACCTCTTTCTCCTCCTCTCCATCTCACCTCCCTCTCCCTTTCACCCCCCCTCCTCCCCCCTTCCCCCCTTCTCAACCCGATCTGCTTCTGAATCCCCCCCCCTTTCATTCTCCTCTCAACCATCTTCCTCTCTCACCCATTTTCCCTTCTCATTCCGTCCCCATCCCAGCCCACTCCCCCTCTTCTCAACCCCTTCCATCTCTTATCCTCCGCTTCTTCTCACCCTCACTTCCCGTCTCACTCACGCTTCATCTCCCACCCCCCTCCCCCTCTCACCTTCCTTCCTCCCCTCTCTCCTCGCTCTCCTTCTCATCCCACTGCCCTCCCATTTCCCTTCCCCTCCCCTTCTCCCCCCTCCCCTACTCAACCCCCTCTCATTCCCCCCTCTCTCACCCTCCTCACACCTGCTTGCCTTACACCCGCCAACTCTCCTTCCCACCGTTTCCCCTCCTGTCGCCCCCCTCCTCTTCCCCCCTCTCTCACCCTCCTCTCACCTCCTCTCACCTCCTCTCCCTTTTAACCCCTTCCGTCCCTCATCCTCCTCCCCATCCCTTCTCTCCCCGCTCACCTTCACAACCCTCTCTCACTCCCTCTCCCCCCCCCCCCCCCCCCCCCCCCACCTTGGTCTGTGCCTCGCGCTCCCACATGGCGGACACGAACACCAGCTCCACGCGCTGCCCCTTGGGCAGGCGGCACGGCACCACGGGCCGCGGCACAGCACACGCGTCCGCCTCCGCCACCTCCACTATCCTCCTCACAGGCGGCGGTGGTCGCTTCGGCTTCTTCTTCTTCTTCTTCTTCCCCTTCCCCCCCACTCCCTCCTCTTCCCCCTCCGCCCCGTCCCCGCCTTCCTCCCCCGCGCCTGCCCCGTCTCCCCCCTGAGAGACGTTACTCCCGGGCACAGCGCCATGCAGCGAGAGCGAGGGCGGCGGCGGCGGGAGGCGGTGCCAGGGGAGGCGGTCGATGGCGTCCCACTCGTCCATGGCGGCCACGGCGTCCTGGTCTATGTCCGTCGGCAGGCCCCCCGCCTCCTCCTGCAGGTCGCGCTCGTCCCAGCTGGCGCAGAGGAGAGTGCGAGAGCGGGCCGGAAGAAGGGAGGGGGAATCGGTGGGGAGGTGTTGGGTGTGTGTGGGTGGGGAGGGGGGAAGGGGAGGGAGGAAGGGGAAGGGGGAAGGGAGGGGGGGAGGGGAGGGGGGAAGGGGAGGGGAGAAGGGGAGGGGGGAAGGGGAGGGGAAGGGGAGGGGGGAAGGGGAGGGGGGGAAGGGGAGGGGAAGGGGAGGGGGGAAGGGGGGGAAGGGGAGGGGGGAAGAGGAGGGGGGAAGGGGAGGGGGGAAGGGGAGGGGTAGGGCTCACCGTTGTCCCGGCTTACCGTCGACCCGGCTTACCGTCGACCCGGCTTACCTTCGACACGGCTTACCTGGCGTGCGGTCGCGAGAACGTGGCGATGAGGAGGATGGCGGTCGCCATGGCGACGAGCAGCACGCGCAGGTCGCGCATTCCCACGCGCCGGAACCCCCACCACAAGCCGTCCCCGCGACCCTTTCCCTGTCTGGTCTCCATCGTGGACGAACACGGAACGGGTTACTATCTGTAATCGCGAACTACTAGTACGCGACTTCGCTTGCCGATGCCCTGAACTTTAGTATTTGCTATACCAGTTCAATTCGGTGCCCTTCACGTTGGAACGAGGTGGCAGACGACGGGCGGACGGGGAGGGATCCGCCTCATGCTGGCCAATTCTGTCGCGACAGCTGTCGAACGTGACGAGCTGCGGGGAATCTAATCAGTAGTGAGACCCGTTCCTGCTGGCAGGGGTCAGTGGTCAGGAACAAGGTGTGTGATACGCAGTGGTCTTGCGACGGGGGTAACGCTTAGGGGCGCGATTGGTGGGGTTGACTGGTGCTAGGTTGGAAGCTACCTAAACTGCTGGGTGAAGGCATGCGTTCAACAGAAGCAGTTGACTACGATGTTGTGCACTCAATAGCGGTTTGTTCCCGCAACCTCAACATACAACCCAAAGTCGTTACAACCCAAAGCATTTACGTGTTGATGGGTTCAATTGGGTTGAATATACCGTCTCAGATTGAGACCTCCCTCCCCTCTTTGAAACGCTTGATGATGTCACCACGCTGACTCGAGTGGTCGTTGCCGTTTATAGATAAACATTTGGTTTGTACAACCTTACTACACTAAAAATGTTTCTGCAATGTGATGAATGTTAAAACTGATTCACCTCAACCCCAACATACACCACCTACAGCTGACAATTCTAGTTACTCCTATCGTGCAGACGGCCCTTCTCAAATCAAAGCAATCTCATATCTGCCCTGCAGTATATAATGCCCCACAGTAACAATTCGAGACAATATTAACATCCAGTTATGACCTCACCAAAGCAAACAATACACCAGAAACGCTCCATTTAGCTGATTGATATCCATTTAGATGCTAACCATTTTATTCCAGTCCGAACCTTGGCTCCAGCTGAATCAGTCAAACCATGAAAGGTTTGTTAAAAGACAGGAGACGATAAAGGGCAGAAGGTACTCTCATAGAACTCACCATGAAGACTACAAGGATCTTCAGCTCCATCATGTCGGCGGCTGAAAAATACCAAAGCCCTTCCCTGCAAATGCAAAAATATGTGTAGACCAATTGGTAAGCTGAGATACAGGGGGGGGAGAGGGGGGGAGGGAGGGAGCAAAAGCTAACCTTCTTTGGAGCTATAGAAATGCCGGAACCTCTTGCGCTTATACCATCATAACCACTGCTTTTGTGCATCAATAATCCTTTCGGAAAATAGGTTTCTCCGCCGCTCTCCACATCTGATAAGTACCTGGTATTCTTTGTGTCAGCCAATGAACTTGAAAACGAACAAGATGAGAGAGAGAGAGAGAGAGAGAGAGAGAGAGACAAAAAAGAACAACAACTTACATGAGCACCGTGGCTGCACGTTTGCTGCAATTTCCGACATCTGACAAGGAAAGGTTAGCAGGCGTTGACATAGAAAAAGGGAAAAGAGAGACCTACCATTGTCAAAATGAGCTTTGAACTCTTCACCAGCTATGTATCGTATTATCTGAAAGGAAGGAGACAGTTGTTTTGCTGGCTTGAAAACGACCAATAGGTGAAGATCCAGCAGCTCACCTGAAGTTTTTCGTTGTCTGGGACAACATGTACGCCCAAAAGCTTCATGTAGAAGATGCACCTCCGCTCAACACACTGAACCACAGGATCTAATTCCAAGCCGTTTGTGCAAAACATACTCCAGCTAGTCCTATTCTGCATTAGATATGCCAATACGCCAAGTTAACAGCTGAGAATAGCGTGGTGACAATTAAGGACAGCTTACCTCACTGACTGCCCTTCCACTGACAAGTGATCTGCGCATGTGAGGTGCTGCTAGCATAATCAGGTGCTCGCATTCCGTATTAGAAAGCAAGCAATCAAATACAATAATCCTGGGGTGATTGCTTATCACTGTAGTTCTTGACATAATGCTTTTAGTAGACAGCCCACAGGACTTGAGTGGGAAGTCTGAAGCTGCCGGAAACGCTTTCAATGCTTCATGCTGCTCAGAATCTAATGAAGTGATTAGACCCCTCGTGTTATGAATGAAACAAATAGATATCATATACCTGGCAGCAGCATAAGCTCCCCTCTGAGCACTCCGTCCTTCACAAAACCTGCAGCAGAAGCCATAACGTCGCCCATTCGAAGAGAGCTTCCAGTTGACCACGAGCCACGTTCGAAGTTCCATTTTGCGTCTGCTATGCCAGATTGCCGACATAAGTTTGTCAAACCACAATGGAAAACATAGCAAATTGTTGCGAAACGACACCTATAGAGACAGATCGCTCCTCGATGCTGGAAATAATAGTCAGCAATATGTGGAAAGTGGCTGAGCAAGGTGCCTCCCTCAGAATTTCGAACACCAGGGGACAGGTGTCGGTAATCCCCCCAGTTACGGATAGAATCCTTAACACAGGAAAACGTGTTACCACAATAACAAAATTTAGCGAGTAATCATTTTGACTTACCATTTCTCTTCTATATCAACGCTCCAGCTTGCAACTCTCAACAGATTTCCTGAACGTAGCTGTCGAGCACTTGAAGTTCTCCAATATACGCAGATGCTTTTGTTATGTTGATTGCTGTGCACCAATGGCAACCATTCCGTCGGGCAAACAACCTGGTGTACATGCACATATAAAAAACCACGGAACAAGAGGAGGGCAAAAAAATGGAATATACTCGACCTGGCAATCCGCATGTTTCAAGGCGTTACTGGTGGCAGGAACTTCCGCTCGGACGAAAGGTTCCGCCATATTGTGTGCTGGCTTCCAGATATGTGAGCGTGCTCTGGCTTCCAGAGTTTCTGTGTACTGGTGTGAAATGGTACTAGGGGGAAGAACTCTAGCGTGAGAATCCGACGGATATGTTTGAAACAGGTTCCTCCCAAACGAGAAGGCACACGGAGAAGATGGGCTCGCAAATTCTCAGTGTACTATGCTCCAATTTTATGGAGAGTGAAGAATATTTTGAGAGTGCACCATATAGGTAATATGCTTTTATACAAACATCCTGACTGCCATGGTTTCATGCCAGGAACATTGATGTCAATAATGTCAAACCTACCGTAGCTCCGTCAATTTTACAAACTGAAAATCGTTTCAGGACCTACACAGGGCCTCAGAAGTCCAGATTTTTACCCTGAATTCCTGAAGTTTGACCCTCGTTTTTTATCGTGACCCTGATGTATCAGCCTTTTTTTTTAACGACCCTGATGTTTCAGTGTTTTTTTATTTCGAACTCTGAATTTCCAGTGTTTTGTGTTTGAGGACACTGACGAATCAGTGTTGTATCGGGGTCGACCCTGAAACTGGAAACGGCGCAATCTGATTGGCCCAAGTGTTGTAGGGAGTTAAAACCGAAATGCAAAATAGTGAACCCCGACCCAGCTTGAAAAGGTGTTGCGACGAGAGAAAGGGATCGGGCCAACAAAGCACTGTACAACACATCAGAAGCGTTCAGATCGAACAAATGTGATTGGCTAGTGCCAAAAGGAACATTTTCTGGGCTCCTGCCAAAAGGAACATTCACCCATCGCATCTCTACGTGTTGGACCCTCACGACCATTGCAGGCGACGGTTTTGGTAGCTAGGCCCAACGCGATTTTTTACCGTAGTTCGAGTGTGTTATCTATCGACTTAGCTTGGGTACGCAATGTAATACTTACACCACTAGCGTAAGGTTAGTATTTCCGTGGCGCGCAAACGTCAATATCCAGTCACCCTCGACTGCTCTCGCTCCTCCCTCACCGCGTCACCCTCACGTTCTCTCTCCCCGCGCAATCTTCGTCCCCCTCCCTTCATGTCGTTCCTTCGTTGTTACCCTCCACTTCCGTCGCCCCCATTGTCCCCGCTCCCTTCTCGTCGCCTTCGCAGTCGACCAATCAGCCCTCCATCGCCCTTCCACTCTCCTGTCGCCCTTCCTCTCTCTCGTCGCCCTTCTTCTCTCTCGTCGCCCTCCCTCTCTCCCGTCGCCCTCCCTCTCTCCCGTCGCCTTCCCTCTCTCCCGTCGCCTTCCCTCTCTCCCGTCGCCCTCCCTCTCTCCCGTCGCCTTCCCTCTCTCCCGTCGCCCTCCCTCTCTCCCGTCGCCCTCCCTCTCTCCCGTCGCCTTCCCTCTCTCCCGTCGCCTTCCCTCTCTCCCGTCGCCCTCCCTCTCTCCCGTCGCCCTTCTCTACCGTCGCCTCTTCGCCCATCTCTCCCGTCGCCCATCTCTCCCGTCGCCCTTCTCTCCCGTCGCCCATCTCTCCCGTCGCCCTTCTCTCCCGTCGCCCTTCCCATCTCCCGTCGCCCTTCCCATCTCCCGTCGCCCTTCCCATCTCCTTCGCCCTCTCCCCTCCCTTCCCGTCGCCCTCCCTCTCTCCGCGCCCTTCCCATCTCCTTCGCTCTCTCCCCACCCTTCCCGCCGCCATCGCTCTCTCCTCCCCCTCCCAATCTCCCCTCCCATCGCCCAACTCGTCGCCGTCGCACTCGATCTGGAACGCCCTCCCCGCGCCCTTCGTACCCTCGAATCACCCACCTCGTCGTCCTCGCGCTCGGCCCGAAATGCTCGCCCGTCGCATTTCGTATTTCCCTTCCCATCACCCACCTCATCGCCCTCGCGCTCTCCGCGAAATGCCCTCCCGTCACCCTTCTTGTCCCCTCCCATCACCCATCTCGTCACCCTCGCGCACTACCATTCCGCGATTTTGCTCACACATTTCTCTGCACGAGTCCTCGTTTCCGTCGCCCTATCTCTCTCGTATCTCGTCACATTGAAACTCTCTGTTGTTTTCCTCTTGTTTTTCCTATGTTGTGATTGCAGACCTTGCAGGCCCATGTGAATGGCAACTCTGCTTGAGTTGCACATGCAAGCACAAGTCGAAATTGGCACGGAATGTGCATGGGATTTGCACGTCGCAAACTTGCGACACATTTGCCCATGCTTGCGACGATTGTTGTTTGATAAAAAACTGTGAAAATATTTCGGAAAAACACTTCAACTTTCCATAATGAGTTTGAGACTTCAAGTGGACCCAACTAGAAGGGGGGGGTCACTATTTTAGCTGCGGGCTTTAATGTTCATCCAGTGATTTGCGCCATGACCTGCTTTTTGGCTGCCAAGCTCTTACAGTACAGCCGGTTGTTTTGCTGTACATGGCATCCTTCGTGCCAGGTGGTAAACTTCTCAAGTTCTGATTGGTTGCCACCAATAACCTGTACCCTTGACTGTTTTGGCCTCGCAGCACACGAAGCCAGAGGTACGTGTTTCCCTCCAATGTTGGCATCGTGGTGCTGGTGTGGTGTGCTCAGCAAACCATACTCGATGCTATCATAATTCCCCATACTGGCAAAGAAAATCAGTGTTGATGTGGTTAGGAACACTGATTGATCAGTGTATTTTTTTTTGTGAACACTGAAAAATCAGTGTTTTTGAGATGATGACACTGAAAATCAGTTTTAGTCCTCAAGGAACACTGAGTGATCAGGGTGCCCCAAAACCAATCTGAGGGCCTGGACCTACATATCATTAGCAAGGTATCGACACCGATATTGTATTCACAAAGAAAACATCAGGTCGGCATGGCATCCCTGCGTATGAAATCTCGTATTTTTCATGTTAAGAACTGTTTTCAAGATTCTGTCATTGTTCAAGCGTATTGGTTGGTGTTTGCTTTGGGCAAACATTGGCCTGGTTAACTAAATTGAAATTGCTGGCTCAAATTCGAAATAAATATGCGTTAATCCTAGAGTTTGAGCAAGCGGATGTCAAGTTATGTGTATATAATTGTTATATATGTTAGGCTACAATGACATGCGTTGTGTAAGGTACACTTTCTAGGTTGCACTTTGTACCCATCCCCTTCTACTCACTCGACATTCCGCTCAGTGTTACTTTGAGATGGCACCATTGCTAGCTAGTTCCTAGGAACCTAACTCACTATTTATCCTAGCTTCGTCCATCCCGCCGTCCTTAGAGTGCATGCGCTTAGCACCGCATCCGCGCGCACTGCTGCACACACTAGAGCGCACAACAGCGCACGCTAGCGTACGCTGCCATGCGCGCCACAACCCGCCACCGCCCACGCACAACGCGCGTCCAGCAGCTCCGCGCGCAGAGCCGCGACCGCAAGCGTATAGCCGCAGCCGCGCGCGCACGCGACAACAGCGGCGCACGCACAGCCACAGCCACGCACGCGCAGCCGCGGCCGAGCATACGCGACAGCAGCCGTATGTTAAAGTCCCAGTCACTAGACCACTCAGATAAAAGGGCTTGTTTCAAATACGGGTCAGTGCGCCCAAACTCCCCCATGCTAAGATGCCTCTAACCCCCCTAGGATCAATCGGGGATCCACAGTGTAGGTCTTCTGACACCCCCCCATACAAGGAGACCCGAGACACGGCGCAGCGCATTCGGCAGCATGTGCGTACACCGGGATTCGAACCCGAGACCTTTCGCTCTAATACCATGTTAAAGTCCCAGTTACTAGACTACTGGGATAAAAGGGCTTGTTTCAAATACGGGCCAGTGCATCCAAACCCCCCCAGGCTAACATGCATGTAACCCCCCTAGGATCAATCGGGAATCCACAGTGTAGGTCTTCTGACACAGTGTGCACAGCAGCCACATCCATGCACGCACAGTCGCGACCGCGGGACAGCAGCCCTGTGCGCCACCGCCATCAGCTATAGCCCTAGCAGCAGCCAAGAGCGCTAGCAACCGCCAGCAGCAAAGCTAGCAGCAGCAGAGCTAGCCGCCAACTGCCAGCAACAAGCCGCGCCAGTTTTCCCAGCCAATGACCAGCCGCAAGTTTCCAGCACGCAACCAGCGCCCGCACGCACTAGCGCCCTGCACACTCCTGCACTTACCTCCCTACCAGTGCCGAATTGTTAGAATGTTGAACTAAACGAGAATGATTGAACTAGGAAAGTTGGGAGTACAAGTATGAAACCCTAGAGATTGTACCCCCTAAGGCTAAACCCACTACAGCCTACAAAGCACAAACATATACAATGTTTGACACACCCCCATAGGCAAAGTGGGAGACAACCAGATGGTCACAAGACCAGTCAAGGCAAAGCAAAGCAAAACAAGCTCAGGGTGGATCTCAAGGATACCACACAAATTCCGAGCACAAGCAAGCGGTCACAAGACCAATTCACATGCAGTGTGATAATATAATAAGAGGTACAGAGATCACAACCTAGCAAGTGTAAGCATGCAGGTATATATATAGAGATCACAGTACAAGCAGAGTCAAGAAGTGAGCAAGTGAGGGACAGTAGGCACTAGGCCTAGAACAGTACAGAAACGCTGATGATCACAAGGCTGAAGCGCCTTGGTGAACACATCAGCAGTGTTGGCCCGAGTGGCCACGTAGGTAAGACGAAGCTGACCACGCTGCTGCAGCTCTCGAGCAAGGAAGTAGCGCAGAGCGATGTGCTTCGTTCTGTGCTCCAGTCTGTGCTCCTGACACAAGGCAATGGCGGCCTTGTTGTCGACGTACAGCACTGGAGGAGAACGAGGCCGCTCTCCCAGGTCGGTCAGCAGGTAGGTGAGCCAGCGTAGCTCCTGGGCAGCCATGGCTGTGGCGTAGATCTCAGCCTCACAACTGGAGCTGAGAACTGAAGACGAGCGTGTAGAACGCCAAGAAACTGAGCCAGAGCCAAGGCTGAAGGTGTAACCCTGAGACGACCGCTGAGTAGCCTGGTCGTCAGCCCAAGAAGCGTCTGAGTGTCCAGTGAGGACAACGTCGCACAGTCCTCCAAGCACAAGCCCCATGCCCGACGTACTGCACAAGTAGCGCAACACCCTCTTAGCGGCATCCAGGTGCTTCTTCCGGTGACGGCCAGGAGCGACATAGCGTGCTAGGATGCTAAGAGGGTATGCAAGGTCAGGTCGAGTGCAAGTCATCAGGTACATGAGGCAGCCCACAAGCTCTGGATACGGGCCACTCGGCTCTACGGACTCATCCGAAGGCAGAGCTGAGAGCGAGTCACCGGTAGGCAGAGGAGTGGGCTGAGGCGAGGAGTACGTGAAGCGGAAGCGCTGAAGGACCTGCTGCACCATGTGTGACTGAGTCAAGGTGATGGTGCGCTGTGCTCTGTCCCGGGTGATCCGCAAGCCAAGATAGCTTGTCAGCTCACCCAGGTCTGTGCACGTGTGTCTCTTCTGCAGCTCCGACTTCACGTGGGCGAGTGCCTCAGTGTCAGCAGTAGCAAAGACCAAGTCGTCTACGTACACTAGAACGTAGAACGGTGGCAGAGTGGTGTCGGTGCGTAGAAACAGCGACGGGTCAGCAGTAGAAGGAGCAAACCCAAGAGCAGCAAGAGTAGTCCTCAGTGTGTCGTGCCACTCACGGGGTGCCTGGCGGAGACCGTAGACTGGCCGCCGGAGGCTCCACTGGGTACCAGGAGGGAACGACCCAGTGAAGCCAGGTGGGCGGCGCAGCCAGATCTCCTCGTGCAGGCTGCCCTGTAGGAAAGCAGTGCTGAAGTCAAGAGAGTGGAGCTCGTAGTCACGCTGAGCAGCGACATGCAGCAGAACCCGAAGAGTGGTCATCTTCGGGGTCGGGGAGAAGGTCTGGAAGAAGTCAACTCCCTCTCGCTGACTGAAGCCTCGTGCAACGTAACGCGCCTTGAAGACAGGCGGAGAACCCGGCGGCCGCTTCACCCTGAAAATCCACATGCCACTGACGATGTTCGCCCCAGGTGGGGGAACCTCGTCGACGTAGGTGCCTGTGGACTTCCAGGAAGCCATCTCTGCGTCCATGGCTGTCTGCCACTGAGAGGAGTAGAGACCCTCCATCGCCTCTGCGTAAGAGCGTGGGGTCGGGATGTCTGGTGCATCCGGGTCTCCCTCAGGGGCAATCAGCATGGACACAAGATGAGGTAAAGCAGCGACAAAGCACTCAAACTCCTCCTGTCTGTCCTCAAGGACGTCCGTGCCGAGAGCACACTCACCCCCGACGAACGGAGGACAGACAAACTCAGACTCAGCAACAAGGCTAGCGGCGTAGTCTAGACGACAGGCGGCAGCAAAGTCAACAAGCTCAGCGACTAGAGCAGACGCAGCAGAGGACTCAAAGGTAGGGTCAGTGACAACAGTGGCAAGGAGACGCGCGACAGTAGGACTGGCAGCACGAGTAAGGTCTGACGGCGGGTCAGCAACGTCAGGAAGAGAGGACGCAGGAGGAGACGGCAGAGGGACACGCTGTGGAGCAGTGGAAGGACGCAGGGTCATATAGTGAGTGCCAAGGACAGGAGGAGGACGCTGACGCGGAGCACGACGACCAGCGCGGACAGCGCGGACAGGCGACTCTGGATGCGACTCAGGCGACTCTGGACTAGACTCAGGCGACGGAGGACGAGACTCAGGCTCACGACGCTCAGTAAGACTACCCGTCGGCGCAGTGTAAGGAGAAGGACCAGGCAGCGGAGAGGCAGGCTGTAACTGTGACTGTGACTGGACAGTAGGGGAGGAGTAGGACCAGTAGAGGGCGGGAGACCAAGAACCTGCTGAAGGAGCGGAACGTAGTACGGCCGCGGCCGCTCAGCAACTCCAGCTCCAACCCCCTCAGCAGCTCCAGTCCCAGCAGCTCCAGTACCTCCAGTACGAGCACCTCCAGGACCAGCAACTCCAGCAGCTCTAGCACCAGCAGCACCACCAGCAGCACCAGCACCTCCAGCAGCACCGCCAGCAGCAGCAGTGCCTCCAGCAGCTCCAGCACCAGCAGCACCTCCAGCAGCTCCAGTAGTACCAGCACCAGCAGCACCAGTACCAGCAGCACCTCCAGCAGCTCCAGCAGCACCTCCAGCAGCTCCAGCAGCACCAGCACGAGCAGCACCTCCAGCAGCACC